CTAGGCTATCGCTCAGCCATAGTGTTGCCATGTACCTGTGTGGGAGAGTTATGTGGACTCAATTAGGCATAACCAGATGGTCCATGCTCAGGAGCTGGTATTATAGGCCATGGAAACCCTGCCTGGCCCAGGCTGGCCTGCTCATGCTGCAAACAGCTGCCCTCTCCAGCTGCTCAGAAGACCCCCTGGAGCACTCATGCCCGACGTCTCCTTTTGAAGCCCTGCAGACACCATTTCAGGACCACCCTAGGTCAGAAAGACCCTGAGAAGTTGGACTATAATTTCTGCACAGCTGGAATGGTTATAGTCCTCAAACTTTACAAGAGAGGGGGGAAATCTTGCAAACTATTCAAAGAAAAAGAAAAAGCTTTCTGAAGTCCAATGGGGTCTTTTCAAGAGGTACGGGGTGTTCTGGAAGGAACTTGAAGAGTCAGCCAGGGAAGGAGATTGGGACAAACATGTCCTATTAGCTCGGGGATCAGCCTTTAACAACAAAATTGAGCGGCTCTGAAGCAATTAAAGAGAACACAAAGACTCATACGAGAGAAAAGCCTGGGAGGACAGGCTGAGAAGGGAGCTGGTGAGCTGGGGGAGGGCTGTGCGGCTGCCTCCCCATCCCCAGGCTCAGCCAGCATCTGACCAGATCAGGCTGCCATGGTCACTTTCCTAATGAACACAGCAGAGTGACCTGAAGCTACCCCTTACTGAATCAAGGATCATACCGGAGGGCTTGACTTAAATTCCTTACCAATCTTTCTGGTGAAGTCCTGAAGATACATTTCTGCTCCAGTACTCTGATCCTTTCTCCAATTCTTTACCCCAAAGCTAGTTTAAAACTTACCAGCACAAGGGGGTACAGTGGTTAGGGCGTTCAGCTACTAACTGAAAGGTCGGTGGTTCCAACCCACAAGTTGCTCCATGAAAGATGTGTCAGGCTGCTTTCATAGAGGTCACTGCATTGGAAACTCAGTGGGGTAGTTGAACTCTGTCCTGTGAGGTTATTGTGATTTGGAGTAATTCGATGGCAAGGGGAGTATCTGATCAAGACTCAAGAGTAAAGTGATGAGACGAAAACACTCCAGTCGTGCTTAGCTGCTTCCCTTAACCCCAAGGGAAGGGTCTCCTGTACCAGAGTCCTGTATCTCCTCTCCTTTCTTCTGTCTAGACCTTCCTCCTCTGTCAACCTCACTGCTTGATGGATCACTGGGGAGCTTCAGCTGCTCCTGCTGCCTGGCTCCCACCACCAGAGACGCCGAGATTTTAAGCTGAATGTCTAGGGGTGCAGCCTGGACATTGAGAGTCTTAAAAGGTGTCCAGCTATGGTAAGAATCACTGCTGTAGATAGACCTTGAGTAGCTGGTGCATCTCCTTTTGCATAAATAACCTGCATATTAGCTCACCTATCTGCTGATAGAAAGCAAGAGTCCCTGGGGGCGCAGTGGGCTAAATGTTGAACTATTAACTGAAAGGTTGGAGGTTGGAAACTATCAAGTGCTGCCATCAAGATTAGCAGTCTTGGAAACTGTATGAGGCAGTTCTGCTCTGTCTATAGGGTCATCATGACTTAGAGCTGACCCAGCAGCAGTGAGTATAAGGCGACTTGCTGGGGAAAGGCAGGAGACATGTTGCAAACTCCGCAGGCAAATGCCATCGGTTCTAGGATATTTTTTTTGAGACTTTGATAGCTACTTAATAGGTGACTAAAGTATTGACTCTTTCAGCGAGAACAAATTAAGATCATATCAAATTCTCTTAAATCTGATTAAGCAGAGCTCAATAGACCAGAAAATGTAAAACCAAAGAGTAATCATGGCTTAGTGATAACAGCAGTGGTTCCCATATTTGAGTGTGTGTTAGAACCGCCTAGAGAGCTTGTTAGAACGCAGACTCACTGAGTCCACCTCAGAGCATGGTATCAAGTGGGCCCCAAGAATATGCATTTGTTTGTGCATGGCCACCTAAGATGCAACTAATGACATCTCTTCTTCAGGGACAAAGAGTGGAGAATAATCAGAAACCTAAGGCAAGTATTAGTTAAATGACTAATTAATTAGTCATTAATGGATTAGTTAAGGACCACCTAAACACAGCTTCCACCATCCAGAGACCAGAAGAACTAGATGGTACCTGCAAACCAGCAGCAACTGCTCTGGTTAGGATCTCAACAGGAAGTCATGGATGGAGAGAGAGGAAGAAAAATGAGAACAAAATTCAAAAACATGGAAAAGTCTAGACTTACTGGTCTGCTAGAGACTAGTGGACCCCCTGATACTGTGATCCTTCAGATTTAGAACAGAATTTAGCCTCAGGAATCAGCATTCAGCCAAACAATAAATAGACCTAGAGAATGAACAGTAACACCCCAGGAGTAAGTGCTCCTCAACACACTCAATCACAAAAAGACTCAAAGGGCAACATTTACTACCCAAAATCAAAGCTCAGAGAACAGAAAGGGACAAGAAAGAAGGATAAATGGATGTGAGAAAGCCAGGGACGATAGGAGAAAAGTGCTGATATAAATAAGGAGAGTGCAACAAATGTCAAGAAATAAAATTTGTATAAATTGTGGGGGAAAACCTCTCATACACTCTGTTACATTTTCACCCAAGCTATAAACTGTGCATTTCAACAAATTCTCAGGAGATGTTGGCACTTCTGGTTCCGGGACCACATTTTGAGACTTCCATGTCAGCCATCCACAGTAATATCTAATGAAGTGACATTGCCACCTTGAAGCCATGTTCACGCTTCCTCCTACCATCATGGTCTGCCGTAGTAACTACTCTGAGAAGTGGCACACCATCAAAGAAAAAGAGAAAAGAAATCTAGGCACTAATCAAACTATTTGTTATCTCCAAAATACAATTCCTGGACATTGTGAAGTATTTGGAGGTACCAGTTTTCCTCATATTTTAAAAGTTTGAGCTATGCCCATTCACTTTCACAACAGCCCTACATTGCCACTCCCACTAAGTCCATTCTGACTGATAGTGGCCTTCCTTCCATTCAGCCTTCAAGGCCAAGAGTCTTCATGGAAGAAAACTGCAGCTCTTTCTCTAGTGGAGCAAGCGTGACTTGCCAACATTTCAGATAACATCCTACCACATTAAGCACTGATCCTGTTTTCACCAACCAATAGAAATCTGAAGAGAAGTTTTGCTTTTATGGAGAAGGTAGAAAGAAAAACTAGTGTTCTGAATTTGTTCTGCAGCAAACTGTCAAAAGAACAGCGTGCTGCGCTCTAGATGGCCAGGGCGACATTGCTGAGCTCTTTCACTCAACATCTCCGCATCAAGTTGCCAGAGCTTTGAACTGTGTCTGTGAAGACTATATATAAGTGCTGTTGTAGGCTTGGGTATTTCTTTGTATGATTTGGTAGGTTATTTTTGGTATCTCTTGTCAGATGGGAAGATTCAAAATTCATAAGTAAATGATTGGTAATTGCTTTTTTCTGTATGCTATTCCAGTTTATGAAATATTTCCTAAATATTCACTATATATTTATATTATTTATTATATT